GCCCAATGAGCTTGAGGACGTTGAAGGCAGGGAGGAAATGCAAATGGAGGGTGAACAAGATTTTGACAGGCAGAGAGCTGGAGAGACCCCCCCCCCCGCCCCCAGATAAGGTGAGTGTGGTTGGTGTGAGTTCTCTCCACTCACTGACCTGGAGGCCCGGAAGACTTGTTGATGCGGCGCATTGCAGGTCAGCACAGCCCAGCTGCGCAAGTACATCAGCCCAATGAGCTTGAGGACGTTGAAGGCAGGGAGACATGGGGAGAAGAAGGCTCCCATCCTGAAACCACAAAGGGAGCCCAGTTAGCTACTGTTCTCCTCGGGTCTGCCTTGGTTCTGAGAGTTCGAGATGTGTACTCTGTGCTTAAATAACTGAGGAAGCCCCTGGAGATCTGAGATCCAAAACCTCCACTTTCTGGAAGTAAGACTAGTCACTTCTGCGGATGAGCTGAGAGCCTATTTTAAAATAGCCTCTTAAGAAAAAACCAGAAAGGACTTCTCTGGTGGTCCAGTGGTTAAGACTGCAAGCTCCCAATGTAGAGGGCACAGGTTCCATCCCTAGTTGGGGAACTAAGATGCCACATGCTGCACAGTGTGGCCTAAAAGAAATTCTCTTCACACAGGAATGCTGAGTGTCTTTTCACAGTTAGCAAAGGGAAGACCCTCTTCCGGTCAAGATGCAAACAGTGGATAACTACGGTTCTGAGTAGGCTCTAGATTTTGCCTGTCTATGGTGAGGGGTAGGGCTTCCCTGGTGTCTCCTGCCTGCAATGCAGGAGATGCAGGGTATGTGGGTTCAATCCCTGGGTCAGGAAGATCCCCTGGAGGAGGGCATGGCCACCCACTCCAGTATTCTTGCCTGGAGAATCCCATGGACAGAGGAGCCTGGTGGGCTACATGGAGTCACAAAGAGTTGGACACAACTGAAGCGACTAAGAATCTAAGCATCCGTGGTGAGGGCTACATTAATCAGTTGTTGACTTTCAGTTTCCATCAACGTATGTGCAGCACAGCTACTTTTGTTGCACCTTGGGCTAAGCATCCTCACACATTTTGGCCCATTTAACCTTCTGCAATCATAGAGGAGGAGTAGGGACTTCTCTGGTGATCCAGTGGTTAAGAATCTGCCTTCCACTGTAGGGGACACAAGTTCAATCCCTGGTTGGGAAACTAAGATCCCACATGCTAAGCGACAACTAATCCCTCATGCTGCAATTAGAGAGAAAACCACACACAGCAATGAAGACCCAACACAGTCAGAAATAAAAATAAATAAACATATTAATCTAAAAATAAAATAAAAGGAGGGGTTAGTATCCAAAGTTGGGTCTGGGAAAATTAGGTGATTTGCTCAAAGACTGATAATAAAAGGGTGACCTGTATCAACCAAATTGAGTGCTTTTGGGAATGACAGGCCTGGGATAAAATACCAGGGAAACAGAGATACAATTACCCTGCAAATAAGCGCCAAATAGGGAAAGAAACCCAGATCTTCTGACTTAAGGCTAATCTGCTTGTACTAGATGCTCATTCTATACAATACTTGTCAAATTTGGATTTAGCAGCAGGAAAATAAATATAGATACAAGGATAGGTTTGATAAGTAGAACTCTTTAAAAAAGCTTTTGGTTTCTCACACCAGGCAAAAAGATCACTGTCCATGTGATGTTAGGCAAGACACTTAGCTTCTCTTTTCTTCAGTTTCCTCATATTTAAAATGGAGAAGAAAATACTAATTACCTTGTAGGATCTCTATAAGAATTTAACCAATTATTATAGGTTAAAAAAAAGTGCCCAATATCTAGCAAATGTTAAATAAATGTTATATATTATTTTAATACTATACTTATGAAAATATTTTTCAAAATAAGTGGACTATAAGAACACAGAATTAGGTTTTTTTTTCTTGCAATGAGAACTTACAAAAAATATATTTATTTGGCTGCACTGGGTCTTAGTTGTGACACTCGGGATCTAGTTCTCTGACCAGGGATTGAGTCCGGGCCCCCTGCATTGGGAGCCTGGAGTCTTATCTCCCAGACCATCAGGGAAGTCCCAAGAACACAGAATTTGAATAAAGGAGTATTACTTGATTCTCCATTTCTCCTGCATTTTACTGTATGATGATGTAGAGATTGTGTCTTGTGAATGTATGGAACATTCAGGCACTTCTTCCTTTTCTTTCTTTGCTTGTATTTGAACAGAGAGCACTTTAGGGGATCCAGGAGGGGAAGCCAGAGGTGGAGGAATGAATAGGGAGCTCTCCGGCATGCCCCCAGGGACACATCTGTCCATGCGGATCAGATGGTCCCTTCCAGCCTTTAGCATCTTTATGAACATAATTGCCATGGCTGGGAGTTAACCTGGGTGAGCAGCCTTCCCCTAGGATGGGTCTGTCTATCCGGTGGATGGATGGTCATGCACCTGGGCTTAGTGAAAAGATGAAACAAGAGGACTTCCCTGGTGGCACAGTGGGTAAGAATCCACCTGTCAATGCAGGGGACACAGGTTCAGTCCGGGAAGGTCCCGTGTCGCTGTTCGGTCCAGGAAGATCCCACATGCCTTGGAGTAACTAATCCCGTGCACTGCAACTACTGAATCTGTGCTATAAAACCCATGCTCCACAACGAGAAGCCACCACAATGAGAAGCTCGTGTACTGCAATAAAGAGTAGCCACACTCACTGCAACTAGAGAAAGGCTGCACAAAGCAACCAAGACCCAGTACAGCCAAAAAATAAATAAATATTCTCCAAAAAAAATATGAAAGGAGAGTGGGGAGCTGAGGGCAGGTTCCCCGCTGGGACACAGCTACTGAAGGAAATCCTCCTGAGGGGTCAGCAGCCGCTCCTCCTAGCCTCCCCCCACCACCAGCCCCACCTTCCCCTTCTGGCTCTTGGTTCTTGTGCGGTTTTGTTTGCTTATTTGTTTTCAAGGGACTGATAGTGGCCTAAAAATGGACTATTTCCTTCATCATTCCTTTCCACAAAATGCTTCAAAAACCATTACCGAAATGACTATTCATATGAAATCCTTCAGTCATAAACTGTTTATGTTCTTTCTTAATTCTTATGACTGTGTTTACTATGGTCACGCCCCATCCAGTCGAAGTAAATAAAAATCTCAGCCCAGATTAGATGTGAGCACAGGCAGGAAGAAGAAGTTTTGATACATACCAAATCATTCCTTGGTTGTAGACTAAATGTAACACGTTCTCTGCAATTTTGAATTCCCCATATTCAGGCTACAAGGGAAAATGAACTTCTGCATTAAAAAACATTCCAAGTTCTTTGCGTAAACTGGTTCATTATCATGACATGCATAGAATTCTTTGCTCCCATTGTCTGTGTGGCCATCCCAGAAAATAGTGAATGGGGAAAAAAAAAAATGGGAACTTCGTTTTGTACATTCTTTCTCTCGTCCCTCACATGTTTTCTCTCAGCCATGTCAGTTTCCCAGCCTGGCCATCAGGAAAGGGTGGATCCAGCAGCATCTTACTTACAAACTTGCTTTCCAGGTCCCAGCACCAGTAGTCACTTAAGTACCGAACGAAAAGTCCTCTGAAGAAGTCTATGAGCAGAATGCTGGCCACGGTGAAGAGCATGTCGATGATAGACAGCTTCAGCATCTCCTGAAACACAAGGCATCCTTGTGTGCCACCATGCCCAGCCCTCCCCATGGCCACTTTCTCATCAGGATCCTCCCATCTCTGTTCATTTCTGTGACTTGAGCCACTGGGCCCCCTCCAATGGTGACTCCATTTCTGGCACACAATGGGCACTCAATAAATATTTGTTCATCTGGGGACTTCCCTGGTGGTCCAGTGGTATAGACTTCATCTTCCAATGTAGGGAGGCCAGGTTCAATCCTTGGTTGGGGAGCTAAGATCCCATATGCCTCGGGGCCAAAAAACCAAAACATAGATCAGAACCAATATTGTAAAACATAAATTCAATAAAGACTAAAAAATTGTGCATGTGCGTGTTCAGTCATGTCCGACTTTTTACAACTCCATGAACTGTAGCCTGCTAGGCTCTTCTGTCCATGGAATTTTCCAGGCAGGAATACTCGAGTGGGTTGCCATGTCCTTCTCCAGGGGATTTTCTCAACCCAGGGATGGAACCTATGTTTCCTGCCTTGACAGGCTGATTCTTTACCACTGGGTCATCTGGGAAGCCCAAAACTGGGAAGACTAAAAAATGGTCCACATCAAAAAAATCTTTAAAAAAAATTTGATCATTTGAATTTTTATATTTGAGGCCAGCATTACACCAAACCAGGAAAAAAAAAAAAAAACCCTATGATTGGGAGCTATTTAGTAGGAGACCACTTGAGGCATGATTATGGGATAATACATAGGGAGGGAGATTCTCTGTACAAGACAATAGAGCAAATGTGAAAGGCAGATGGGTTCAGAGCACAGTTTAGAGCAGATGCCTGCATTTGGGGCATCACTCTGCTTTTACTATCCATGTGTGTGTGTGTGTGTGTATGCTCAGTCATGTTCAACCCTTTGTGACCCCATGGACTATAGCCCACCAGGTTCCTCTGTCCACGGGATTTTCCGGGCAAGAATACTGGAGTGAGTCACCATTTCCTCCTACAGGGGATCTTCCTGATCCAGGGATCAAACCCACGTCTCCTGTGTCTCCTGCATTGCAGGAGGATTCTTTACCACTAAGCCATCAAGGAAGCCTCTTAACTATCTGTCATGTGGGCAAGTTACTTAACCTCTTGTGCTTCAATTTCCTCATCTCTGGTTCTAAGGATAATAACAATAAAATTCTAGACTAAGCACTGACAACAGGGTCAAGCACATGGTTAATACTGCAGGAGTCTTTACACTGATAATTATTATTTGTTTTGAGACCTGGGCAATCTTAAACCCCCAATTAACTTATTTTCCTTTTCTATAAAAGAGGCATAATGGCAGTCAGAGAATTGCTAGAGTCAAGTGATGAAATCGACTCAAAAGGGTTTTATAAAGGACAGCAACCTACCTGTCCAACGTAGGTCTCCCAGCATTGGTCTTGCGGACTCCGGGTGGAGACTGTGGTCTTGTTGGCTCCTGAGAGAGGTGAGATGTAAGTTGGAATGTTGGCCTCTTCCAAGGCCCACGTGCTGTTTCTCCTGAGCCCTATTCCAGGCCCAAGTGTGGACCATCTCTCTTCTCCGGGGGCTGCCCTGGTGGCAAAGGTAGAATCTATCCAGTGACTTGTGCTATTTTGGGGAGTGGCTTTCTGCAGACAGAGAGAAGGAAGAAAAGAGGTTGCTCAGTTACAGTTAGTTCCCAACATGTGAACAAGTTCAGTTATGAGATCGAGTTCGAAAGTCCAACAAAGTCAGCCTAGGTATCCAACAAACACAATCTGCTGTATAGTACTGTACGGTCATAGGTTTATAATACTTTTCACACAAATAATACATTAAAAAAGACCCAAAAAATAAAGAAAACATTTTTATTCTAACAGTACAGGACCTTGAAAAGTACAGTAGTACACTTAAATTTAGCTAGCACACAGTAGCACATTCACATCTTTGAAAGTACACAACTTGAAGGTTCATATGTAGGGGACTTACTGTATTTGTAAATAACAATCTGTCATGAACACCAAGGGTATCATTGCAATGCTTTGAAATAATCTCTTTCTATATCTCTGTTTCTGTCTCCATCTCTCTCTCTCTCTCACTCTCCCACTCTCTCTAGCTTGGTTGATAACCACTTGACTAGGAAGGGTCCAGGAATGAACATTGTAATGAATAGTGTTTATTGGTCACTAGTGAGTGTCAGAGGCTGTCCTAAGTTATGGCCTGTTCTATTTCTCATTCTCACGAGAGTGTCAGGTAAGAATGATTATTCCACGTGACAGATGAGATGTGATAGATAAGATAGATGTGATAGACGAGATGAGTGCTCCATACTAGGAATGGATGTTATAGATATGATAGATGAGATGAAGCTCAGCTAAATGAAGTAAGATGCTAGTAGGTGGCAGGTGGGGACCCAGTCTTTGCAACACCGAAGCCCTGATGCAGAACCATTACTCCCCATGGCCTCTGCTTTCTTACAAGCTGCAAGATTTGATGTTAGTCAGGTATGGCTTATATAAACAACCCTAAGAAAGCTCCTCTTCCCTGCCTCGCCTCCCCCTACCCTTTGGGATATTCTCACAGGTGGATCAGGTTTAACATGAGCTCCAAACCTATCCTAGGCTGGGAGTGGATCCCCTGGTGGGTACTGGGAGGGGGCTGCTCTGAACTGTTCTCCATAAGATGTTTATATTCTCCTGATTTTCTGAGTGGGTCACATGGCCTGCAGTTCTTCCAGGATCATTTACCAGAGCTGTTGATGGCTTTTTCTGGTGGAATTCCAGGAAAGAGAGTCAGGAAGCCCAGATTCTCATTCTAGCACTTATCAGTGACTAGCCATCAATTCTGGCCTCAGTTTCTCTATCTTGGGACTAATTTTCCCATTCTTATGTTGAGAAGACCACAACTGAATTGAATTTCCAACATGAAGAATGGACTGCAAGTATAAGCAGTAATGCTGACAATACTGACGATTGCCCTTATGTGTGTGTATGTGTGTGTGTGTGCATGTGTGTATGTGTGTCTCTGTGTGTACTGTGTATATATGTGTACATCTGTTTGTGTGTGTGTATGCATATGAATGTATATTTGTATACGTGCTGCATGCTAAGTCACTTCAGTCATGTATGACTCTTTGCAACCCCATGAACTGTAGCCCACCAGGATCCTCTGTCCATGGAATTCTCCAGGCAAGAATACTGGAGTGGGTTGCCATTTCCTCCTCCAAGGGATCTTCACGACCCAGGGATTCACCTGCACCTCTTCCATCTGTTGCACTGGCAGGCAGGTTCTTTACCACTAGCGCCACCTAGGAAGCCCAA